ATCTCATATGTAAACAGAATTTGAGAGAATTTGCTTTAACTTTTTTTTTTTTGAGTATGTGTGTGACCTAGTTTTCAACATTTAAAGAATTTTAAGGAATGTGGCGTTAGATAAATTAGCTTTTAAAAAAGCGAAAAAAAATTTAAAGAGCCATCCTCAGTAATAAAATATAATAGTTTATATTGCTTATAAAAAAATTATATAACAACTACTACTTACTGAGGCCTTATTATAAGTAGGCTTTGTGTTAACCATCCATGCGCGCGCACACGTGCGCACACACACACACCCACCCATTCTTTTTAATCCTTAAAACAAACCTCTGTAGAAGTATTGTAAAGTTTTTCATTTACCATTATACACTTGAGTATTATGTTTGTGTTATTTAGGTTAAGCTATAATCTGGGTCTCTCAAATGCTGTACTTGAGAATGCCAGTCTGGGGTGGTCTGCTAATATGATAATGAAGGACGCATGGTCCATGAGTGAATTGCTGTTTTAATCAGGAAGCTCATTCTCCATAGGTGGCTACTATAAGGGCTTCTGTTAGGCTATCTCAATGGTCAAGGCTTTGCTACTTAACATACTCAACATCTGAAATATGTTTTTATTGATGAAAATAGTGACCATTTATTAAGTATGCCTAATGCTAAAAGTTGGCTCATGTTGGAGAAATGAGAAGTACTTAACATGAGCAGAATGGTTAAAATATTTGAGACACTATCCACAATACCATGAAAGGGAAGAGAGAGCCAGTGAGGTCTGTGGGGCTATTATGGATGATGCCCAGCCCCGAACTCTGATGCATGCTGTTGGTTTGATCCTGGCTTGAAGGCTAACAGAATCCTGCATTTGCAACCTTGGCATCTGCCTCGAGTGAACCTTTTATGTGAGGTGGTCGTTGGACAGACAAATGGGAATTTTAGCTAGCTGTACAAGATGCATAAACTGTGTGTGCTTTTTAAACAGTAATCATGTTATACCTAATTATGCATTTATTTATAGAACCAGGGCTGTTCTTACCAAGGTAGTGTTCTTTGGTGTGTAGTGCATCTAGCCATAGCTCCAGGAACTGGAAAATGGGTTATCTGAACATAGACTTGCCTGACTGTATCCTCCTCTGTAACTTTCTTCCTTTTTTGGTGCCAGAATTCCTGAGACCATTATCACTGGGTACTCTCCTTGCTCTGTGCCATCATGACTGGATAAGATCTTAAGAATGGTTTGGTTGGTTTTTTTTGTTGTTTGCCTACTAATAAATGTATATATAACAATTTGATCTGAAACTCTTAAATTGTAGAGAGGAGTTAATCCTCACTCGCCTCAAACTTCATTGGTAGACACTGTATCAAAAAGAAATCATGATGTATTTCCTTTTGCTTACTTATACTCTCTTGAACTTCATAGGTCCTTGTATCCTATATAGTTGCTAGCAGTTGCTTTATTTCTCATAGAGCACAATGTTTCCCATCTAACTTCTGATGCCTGGCTTTGTAGGGACAGAAAACCCACCCAGGACAGACAAGCAACATGTGTACCAAAAACAGAGAATTTTTTTTTGGTCAGGTTTACTGTCTAATATACTTCTCATTGTCTTGAAAAGGCTCAGGGATAATATATTTACGTAAAAAGAATTGAGTTTGGTCTATGTATCCTTAAATGAGATCAGATTCTAGGCCATTATTATTAATGGATTTTTTTATAAGATCTCAAAAGTTCAGATCCTAGTAGAGACCATAACGATCATGCATATTTGTGTAATATAAAAAAATATCTTTGGGCCCAGCCAAGTGGCTCAGTTGGTTAAAAGCAAGAGCTCTGAGCAACAGGGTCGCCAGTTCAATTCCTACATGGGCCAGTGATGCTG